GTTTTTCAAAAGCAATTAAAAAAAACAAAACATACTTTAATGAATTTTAATGTAAGAAAACACAACATATAACCCATTTTTTGTTATAAAAGTATAAAAGATGATGTTATGCCAAGTAAATAGATACTAAACATGGCACGCCTTTAAATTGTGTACACTTGCGGAATGGCGCCTAACTACAGCATTTATAAATCTCCAAAGGCGACGCTTTTACAAGTTACCAGTTTAGAGTTGCAGAGGCGGTCTGGCACTGGAAGTATTGCTCTCACTACAACATTACCTCACATGTGTTCATATATGCGGGCGCAACCTACGTATGGGGGGATGACAGGGGTGCTTTACAAAAAAAAAAATATTTTATTACTTTTTCTATTTTTACACTGTCCCTTTATTTATTTTTTAAATCACTTTTATTACTATCACCAGAAATGGAAACATCCCTTGTGATAACAGTAAAGCTTGACAGGTCCTCTTTATAGAGAAGTCAGGGGTCTTATAGACCCCAGATCTTCATCCTTGAAAGCATCAGATAAAAAATAAATTGATCTGATGCTCCCCCCCCCCAAAAAAAAAAAGAAAGAAAAAGGCAGGAGGTCTGCCCTAAACAGAAGCAGCGTAATGACTTTGTTTCCAGCCTCCTAGATCATAGAGTTGATGGCCAGCCATGCGAATGGCTGGATCAGACCTCGCCTTCCTGGTGGAAAGGATAAGCCCGAGAAACCGGCCCCTCCCACCGCTTCTAAAAGCAATCCGGTAGCTAATTAGCTGCTCATATTGCTTTTAGGGAAAAGAACTTCACCGACTGAAAATTGTAATAGTGGGGTTCTGTCTGATAGATGCAGCCACAGTCCCGGTACACCAAATGTGCAACGTGTATCTACATTAGCAGGTCTACAAGTGGTGAACCTTTAGTATCACTTTAACCTCTTCCTGACCGCGCTTTAGCCAATGACGGCTACAGCAGGTGGTCCAGTTCTGGGAGATCATCATATGCGCCCCCCCAGAATGGGCCCCCCCGCGCACCCCCATTGGTGCGCACCCGGCACGCTCTGTGATTGCTGTGTTCTGTGGAAAGCTGATCACGTGACATGGTAAAAAGGCCAATCACAGCTAATCACCACGTAAATACACTTTCCGGTTATCGGCAGCACTTTCCTCACTCTGTCACATCTGCACTGATAATCAGGGCACTGATTATCAGTGCAGCCCCAAAAGTGCCCATCAGTGCTGCCTATCAGTGTCCAACAGTTCTGCCCATTAGCGCTGCCTATCAGTGCCCAACAGTGCTGCCTATCAGTGCCCAACAGTCCTGTCAACAGTGCTGTCAATCTCTGCTGCCAGTCAGTGCTGCCAGTCAGTTATGCCAGCCAGTGCCCTTCAGTGCTTGATATCAGTGCCCATCATTTCCGCCTTTCAGTGCCCATCAGTTCCTGCCTATCAGTGTCCAACAGTGCTGCTCATCAGTGCACAGCAGTGCTGCCCATCAGTGCTGCCAATCTTTGCTGCCATTCAGTGCCATCATTCAGTACTCTTCAGTGCTGGATATCAGTGCCCATCATTGCCCGCCTTTCAGTGCCCACCAGTTCCCGCCTATCATCAGTGCCAGGGTTGCTTTCAGTGCACAGCCTGCCCATCAGTGCCATCTGTGCTGCCATCAGTGCTGCCAGTCAGTGCCATCATCAGTGCCTTCAGTGCTGGATATCAGTCATCATTGCAGCCTTTCAGTGTGCCGCATATCAGTGCAGCCTCATCAGTGCCTCCTCATCAATGCCCACCAGGCCAACTCATCAGGGCAGCCTCATCAATGCCCATCACTGCTCCCTATCACTGCCTATCAGTGCAGCCTCATCAATGCATATCAGTGAAGGAGAAAAATTATCTGTTTGCAAAATTTTATAATAGAAACAAAGAAAAACTTTTTTTCTTCAAAATTTTCACTCTTTTTTTAATTTCTAGTGCAAAAAAATAAGACACCCAGCGATGATTAAATACCACCAAAAGCTCTAGGTGTGTGAAAAAATGATAAAAATGTCATATGAGTACAGTGTTGCATGACCGCGCAATTGTCATTCAAAGTGCGACAGTGCTGAAAGCTGAAAATTGGTGAGGTAGGCGAGGGGTTGAAGTGGTTTGGGCGGTTTCTATAGACCACTCCGTGGACAATTTGTACAAGGCTGGTTGTACAAATGCAAAAACGCATGCAGTGTTTTCCATGTATTCCAATGGCCCTAGTCCACACCAATGCAGTGCGTTCCAGTGCAGTCATGGAGAACATGCCGCATTTTGGAACACACCTGGAACATGGCAAAAGGTATCATCTGGTAGGAAAAGAGACCTGATATTTCTCTGTTGTAAGTTTTTTTTTTTTTACATTTCCTCAGCTTCTTCCTGGTTTTTGGCCTAGGCCAAAATGATGTCATACATCCCAGGCGTCTTTCTCAGCTAAGCACACCCTCTTGCCTCCTGAGCTAAGGGCAGATGGAGCTCAGGAAGAAAATGTTACATCAATCATCTGCCCTTACTCAAGATGGCCGCAGCCAGAAATGCCATAGGGTTGTTTTTCAAAGTGATTCCCCAGCAAAATAAAGCTTGGAGACATGGATTTAATAGTCAGAGGATGAGTTTGCTTTGACTATTAAAAATTAATTAACTACACTTCATCTGATACCACAAACCAAAAACACTGTTTTATTCATTTTTAAATATTCAGAGCAAACTCCACCAGCCATCCAGGTCTCTGCTGAGAAATCATTTTTAAAAACACCCCTGGTATTTCTGACAGTGGCCATCTTCAGTAAGGGCAGATGATTCATGTATAATTTACTTCCTGGAATCCATCTGCCCTTAGCTCAGGCATAGACTGAGCTGAGAACCCTCCTGAAGACTGCTGGGATGTATGACATCATTTGCCTAGTCTGGAAACCAGGAAGTAACTGAAGAAATGTAAAAACAAAAGTTTAAAACAAGTACAGGTGTACCTCGGTTTATGAATATAATGCATTCTCCGGGACGTTTCATATTGCGAAAAATTTGTAAACTGAAACCCATAGGAATGCATTGAAAACCAATTAATCTGCTCCAGAGGTCAGGAAAAAGTAAAAAAAAAAAAAATTGCTGTCACTATAGGCCAGTTTTTAAATGTAATTACTGTTTTTTTTTCCTTCACTATAGCTCAGAGAATCACCTGTCACTTTCCCCCCAGCTAAAAGAAACAATGTTTCCTTTTAGTTTATTTCCTTGAGTTAAAAAAAAGAAAGTTTATTTCCTTTAAAAGAAAAAAAAGTTTCCTTTTAGTTTATTTCCCCAAGTTAAAAGAAACAATGTTTCTTTTTATTTTCTTTCCCGAGATAAAAGAAAGAAAGTTTTGTTTTAGTTTATTTCCTCGAGTTAAAAAGAAAGAAAGTTTCCTTTTAGTTTATTTCCTCGCGTTAAAAGAAAGAAAGTTTCCTTAAGTTTATTTCCTCGAGTTAAAAAAAAGAAAAGTTTCCTTTTAGTATATTTCCTCGAGTTTAAGAAAGAAAGTTTCCTTTTAATTTATTTCCTCGAATTAAAAAAAAATTCCTTTTAGTTTATTTCCTCGAGTTAAAAGAGAGAAAGTTTCCTTTTAGTTTATTTTCCTCGAGTTAAAAGAATGAAACAATGTTTTTCCTTTTAGTTTATTTCCCGAGTAAAAGAAAGTTTCCTTTTAGTTTATTTTCTCGAGTTAAAAGAAACAATGTTTCCCTTAGCTCCGGGGAAAGTGACAGCTAATTCTGTGAGCTATATGGAAGAAAAAAAAAAGGCCGGCAATTGCATTTAAAAATCGGCACCGACATACACTTCGTATTGTGAAAAAAATGCATAAAAAATTTGTAAACTGAGGCATTATCTTCAATGGACTTTCATTCGTAAACTGAAAATTCCGTTAACCGAGGTACTCCTGTAATATATTAAAAAACACAGCAAATACGTCGGGGTTCTAGATCTCTGAGAGGACCTTTAACCACTTCCAGTCTGGACACTTTCCCCCATTTCCAGTCCGGACACTTTCCCCCCCTTTCCTGTCTGGACACTTTCACCCCCCTTCCAGTCCGGACACTTTTCAGTCACCCCCTTCCAGTCTGGACACTTTCCCCCCCTTCCTGTCCGGACACTTTCACACCCCCTTCCAGTCCGGACACTTTCCCCCCCTTCCAGTCCGGACCCTTTTCCGGAACACTCCAGTCCGGACACTTTCACCCCCTTCCAGTCCGGACACTTTCACCCCCCCCTTCCCAGTCCGGACACTTTCACCCCCTTCCAGTCCGGACACTTTCCCCCCCTTCCAGTCCGGACACTTTCCCCCCCCCTTCCAGTCCGGACACTTTCCCCCCCTTCCAGTCCGGACACTTTCCACCCCCTTCCTGTCCGGACACTTTCACCCCCCTTCCAGTCCGGACACTTTCCCCCCTTCCAGTCCGGAAACTTTCACCCCCTTCCAGTCCGGACACTTTCCCCCCCCCAGTTTTCCCCCCTCCGGACACTTTCCCCCCTTCCAGTCCGGACACTTTCCCCCCCTTCCAGTCCGGACACTTTCACCCCCTTTCACCCCCTTTTAGTCGGACACTTTCCCCCCCCTTCCAGTCCGGACACTTTCACCCCCTTCCAGTCCGGACACTTTCACCCCCTTCCAGTCCGGACACTTCCCCCCCCCCCCCCCCCCTCCTGCCCAGGCCAATTTTCAGCTTTCAGCACTATCACACTCTGAATGACAATTGCGCGGTCATGCAACACTGCACCCATATGACTTTTTTTAGCATTTTTTTGAGACAGAAAAAACTTTATTTTGGTGGTATTTATTCACCACTGGGATTTTTTTTTTTTTGCTATATAAATGAAAAAGTCCAAAAATTTTGAAAAAATGTGTTTTTCTTACAACATTTTGCAAATAAATAATATTTCATCATAAATCTTGGCCAAAATGTATTCCGTTATCTTTTCAGTAAAAAAAAAAATAACCCAAATTAGTTTAAAACCAAAAATAATTAAAAAATATTTTTTTTATATTTTTATTTTATTTTTTTATATTATTATTTATGAGTTTTTTGGGGGTTTTTTTCATTCTGTCACCCTAGCAGTACAGTGCCATCATGGTGACACTGTACTACTTGTGGGGGGTGATTAAGAGTTTGTTCTTTTTCTTTTACACTGATTGCTTTTACACCCATAAAGGCTGTAAAAGCAATCATTTCTCCTTCTCTCTGGCTGCATTCTTGCAGCCATTGAGAACTACTGTGAGAGCTGTGATTGGTCACAGCTTGTCACATGGTACAAGGTTGTTGTGAATAGCCCTGTACCATGTGATCTCTGTCATCATTCACAGATTTCACATGTAGTAAGCAATGATGTCAGAAGTGACATCTTGCTTACTACTCTGCATGTGATCACTGATTGGCCAATCAGTGATCACATGATCGGGACTTCACACAGAGGTCCCGTCCGGAGAACACAGCGGGCACCAGATCGCGGTGCTGTGCGCTCCCAGGGAGCGTGCCCAAGCAGGATGCGTAGAGGCTGTTTACATACGCCCACCCACCCCTGCACTGCTCCCATCCGGCTGTTTATATACAATGGCTGGACGGGAGGTGGTTACAGTTTTAACGCGTTGGTATTACACCCCCCCTCTAGACTACACGTCATGTTCCCAGGGACGTCACACCTCTGTTTTCGGGGTTGTGGTCTTGCTGGTACCCTTGGTGCATATGTTTTCTGCTTGTCCTGGTCTTTACTTGATCTGGCGTAGGAGTTCTGCAGTGGCCTCTGCCTTGGTGGGTTCTCCGGTGGATTTGTCTCTGCAAATTCGTTTGTTGGGTGCTTCCATTCCAGGATCCCAGCCAACCTGATGAGGCTCATCCACACTATCTGTGTCTCCACCCTACGGGCCATTGCCCTTCATTGGAAGTCACCGATGGCCCCTTTTGCCTCTGTTCTGCGGAGAGTCAATATGGTCACGCTCATGGAACGTATTCAACATACATTGTTGGATGGGATGCATTTATTCCACGGAAAATGGGATGGTTGGAAAACACATCAACACTCACTGTGCGATCGACGGTCTATCATGGACTGATTTGCATTGACTCTTTAAAAAGGTATAAGATATGTGAGCGCACTAAAAGGAGCAGCTATGCAGAAAAGGTAACCAAATAAAACCTTAATAAAAAATGGTAAATCACAAATCTTATAAGGTGACTCAGCAATGAAGTAGATGAAGTTCATAGATAAATAATTGATGAATAAATATTAAAAATACAGAAAAGTTCAAAGGTGCCAATAGTGCTCTGAAGGTGCCTGCTTCAATGGTGATCCGGTGCTTGTGCAAATGGATATAGTAAAATTGCTATATTTTTGATCAGTTTACATCCATTTTTTTTTTTGGCCGTTTTTGTCCATTTCCATCCATTTTTAGTCCATTTACATCCGTTTACATCTGTTTTCATCCGTTTACATTTGTTTTTTTGTACATTTACATCTGTTTTTTTATCCATTTTTCATCAGGTTACATGTTTTTCATCTGTTTTTTTTTATCAGTTTACATCCATTTTTTTTTGTCCGTTTTGCATCCATTTACATCTGTTTTCGTCCGTTTACATACATTTTCTGTCCATCTACATCTGTTTTTTTAATCTGTTTTTCATCAGTTTACATGTTTTTCATCTGTTTTTTATCAGTTTACATCTGTTTTCATCCACTTACATCTGTTTTCATCCATTTACACCCACTTACATCTGTTTTTCATCCATTTTTTTATCCGTTTACATCCGTTTTTATCCGATTACATCTGTTTTTCGTCCATTACGTTTTTTTTAATGGAAGAAAAAATAGGGTTAAAAAAACGGATGTTAATGGATGTGGACATCAACGGATGTAAACAGATGATCATCCGTTTACATCCACTAGTCCATAGAAATACATGGGGATAGATTTTTTTATCTGTAAACAGACAGATGAAAGACGGACATACGGAACGCCCGTGTGAAAGGGGCCTACATTAATGTTTTCGTTCTGCACGTGTTTAGGTATCCCCAGACGTCTATGCACGTGTGTGGTTCTCCATCCAGGTGAAAAGACGAGTAGCAAGGAAGTATGGAAGCTTCCCCATCCTCGGACACGTACGGGAAATATCCTATGTGTGTGCCATTGGACCCAATGGCTCTGGTAGGACCGAACGGCAGGGGAGACCACTGTGCTGGCGCCGTAATGGTGGTACCAGATGTGGGGAGGGGAGCAAACAGACAGAGGACCGAAGATCCTCCATACAGAGAGATTCGGTTCCCCACAGGAGATGGTCTTCCCAAATGAGGGACAATTGTTGGCTATGACAGAATCTTCCCCCATTGTGCCAAAAAACAACATTTTGTAGAACATAAAAGAGAAAATTTGACTAAAAGCAGAGAAAAGGAAATTGAATGCTAAAAAAGGTGACAACTCGATTTCGGGGTGCCAGCGCCTTCCAATCCCTGATATTTGGCCCCACCTGATCCCGCCGGGTGACTTCGGTCCGTATGGTTCTGAGTGGAGATGTTCTGAATGCTCCATTGAGTTGCATTATTGTCATTGACTGAGGAAGACGCTAACCTGATTACAAGAACCGGCCAGCAATGACTCACCACGCCGGGCCCCAGGGGGGGGAGTGCGGGACGGACAGCGTGGATTTCCTACTTATCGAATTAAATCTCTAGATGCATTAATGGAGAGATTAAATGAAATGGCTGAAAGCATGCCAGCTGGATTACGAAGATATTAATCCGGCTAATGAAATCTTAATGGTGGGAGAGTTATTGTTCCTCGTTCTCTGATAATAAATGACACATGAAAGGTGTTTCCGTCTTCAGGGGATTTATAATAGTGGATGGATGGATGGATGGATAGATAGATAGATAGATAGATAGATAGATAGATAGATAGATAGATAGATGGATAGATGGATAGATGGATAGATGGATAGATGGATAGATAGATAGATAGATAGATAGATAGATAGATAGATAGATAGATAGATAGATAGATAGATAGATGGATAGATGGATGGATGGATGGATGGATGGATGGATGGATGGATGGATGGATGGATGGATGGATGGATGGATGGATGGATGGATGGATAGGATAGATAGATAGATAGATAGATAGATAGATAGATAGATAGATAGATAGATAGATAGATAGATAGATAGATAGATAGATAGATAGATAGATAGATAGATAGATCAGTCTGTAAATGCAGGAAAGCATGCTTGTTATACTCACTGAACCTAAGGGGTTAATCTTCTGCATTGTGTTAAAAGGCTGTTTGATCCTGTCTTCTCTGATCCTTCCCTTCTTCTACTGTCCCCAATCCATCTGTTGATAGAACAGAGTCTTGGGGGCACTCTGCACATGCTCAGTTTGGTATGTATTGCTATAGAGTATTTTATTTTCTTGGGAGGGTGCATGTGATCGGCACAGCGCCAATCAACACTGTCCAGAGGTCAGGGGTTCTGCATCCTCCTAGAGCAGAAAGAAAAACTCCTCCTACAAGCTTTAACCAGTGCTCTGCTGGACACTGATAGAAGTCACAAGACTGCTATATATTGCTGATGAGAAAAGGTATTTAGCAGTTTATATTTACTAAAATAATTGCATTTCCATGTTGTGTGTACTGTGGGAGAGCAGATATAGTGAATGCAGGGTCCGGGGAGAGTGGATATAGTGAATGCAAGGTCTGGGGAGAGCAGATATAGTGAATGCAGGGTCCGGGGGAGAGCGGATATAGTGAATGCAGGGTCCGGGGAGAGCGGATATAGTGAATGCAGGGTCCGGGGAGAGCAGATATAGTGAATGCAGGGTCCGGGGAGACCAGATATAGTGAATGCGGGGTCTGGGGAGAGCGGATTTAGTGAATGCAGGGTCCGGGGAGACCGGATATAGTGAATGCAGGGTCCGGGGAGACCGGATATAGTGAATGCAGGGTCTGGGGAGAGCAGATATAGTGAATGCAGGGTCCGGGGAGAGCGGATATAGTGAATGCAGGGTCCGGGGAGACCAGATATAGTGAATGCGGGGCCCGGGGAGACCAGATATAGTGAATGCGGGGCCCGGGGAGACCGGATATAGTGAATGCGGGGTCCGGGGAGATCGGATATAGTGAATGCGGGGTCCGGGGAGACCGGATATAGTGAATGCAGGGTCTGGGGAGAGCGGATATAGTGAACGCAGGGTCCGGGGAGAGCGGATATAGTGAACGCAGGGTCCGGGGAGACAGATATAGTGAATGCAGGGTCCGGGGAGAGCGGATATAGTGAATGCAGGGTCCGGGGAGACCAGATATAGTGAATGCAGGGTCTGGGGAGACCAGATATAGTGAATGCAGGGTCCGGGGAGACCAGATATAGTGAATGCAGGGTCTGGGGAGACCAGATATAGTGAATGCAGGGTCTGGGGAGACCAGATATAGCGAATGCAGGGCCCGGGGAGGCCAGATACAGTGAATGCAGGGTCTGGGGAGACCAGATATAGTGAATGCAGGGTCCGGGGAGACCAGATATAGTAAATGCAGGGTCCGGGGAGAGCGGATATAGTGAATGCAGGGTCCGGGGAGAGCGGATATAGTGAATGCAGGGTCCGGGGAGAGCGGATATAGTGAATGCAGGGTCCGGGGAGACCAGATATAGTGAATGCAGGGTCCGGGGAGACCAGATATAGTGAATGCAGGGTCCGGGGAAAGCGGATATAGTGAATGCAGGGTCCGGGGAAAGCGGATATAGTGAATGCAGGGTCCGTGGAGAGCGGATATAGTGAATGCGGGGTCCGGGAGACCAGATATAGTGAATGCAGGGTCCGGGGAAAGCGATATAGTGAATGCAGGGTCCGGGGAAAGCGGATATAGTGAATGCAGGGTCCGGGGAGAGCGGATATAGTGAATGCGGGGTCCGTGGAGACCGGATATAGTGAATGCGGGGTCCGGGGAGAGCGGATATAGTGAATGCAGGGTCCGGGGAGACCAGATATAGTGAATGCAGGGTCCGGGGAAAGCGGATATAGTGAATGCAGGGTCCGGGGAAAGCGGATATAGTGAATCCTGCATTCCGGGGTTTAGGAACACTTTAAATCCCTTTATTTCCCAGAACGATGTCATAGAGGAAAGTATTACACCTCCAGATAGTGTTCTATGGAATGGAAGTCTCAGTAGTCCGCTCCCTCGTAATATTCTGTGCGCAATAAAGAGGACTGACGTCAGAGCGAAGGTCCTCTGTCCTCAGCTGCGAGTGCCTAAAGGATTCTTTCCATTTAATGTGACCGCCAAGGAGAGGTTGCAGTGTAAAATCGCTAAACACATAGGAAGTAATGTAATTAGGCCGCATCCAATGCTTAGTTATCAGGAAGGCCTTTGGTCAAGCACACTATTAGGAGAGATGTATATCTGAAGGGCTGCAACCAAATGCACCCATTCATTGCCAGTCACTGAGAGCTGCAGGCGTACAGGGCAGCGAGCGCTCCTAGAGCAGAACCTAAAGCAGTATTAAACCCAAAAGCACACATTTATCATATTGCAGCTTAACAATTCTTAGATGTGGTGGCTGCATTCGTTTTCTTTTTTTAGGCTTTTGTCTATTTTGATCTGGTGATCCAGCCAGTAGGTCTGTTATTTTTTCTTTTTTTTTCAGTTTTTTCTCCTTTTTTTCCGGGAGGAAACCTAGAATCGAGTTCTAAATTAAGTTCTTATTTGAGTCCATCTAATAGGTAATTCCTAGCAATGTAAGTTCTTTCATAGGTAGTCTCTTCTTCCACTCCTCATATCTCTATTAGCGTCTGTTTTGCCATCTCTGTTCTTCCAGTCCCCTTTTCTCCTTTATCTCATCAGTCCACCCTGGTATTTCTGGTATTTGCAGTTCTAATCTTTCACAGAAATTCTGTAGATCTTCTGGGAACCTCAGACCAGCTGAACGTCCATCTTTCCATCCCACTAAGCATGCTGGGAAGCCCCAAATGTACCGGATTATTATTATTATATAGTATTTATAAAGCGCCAATAGTTCGCTCAGCGCTGTACATTACAAAGGGGGACAGAACATGTGACAGAACAATACCAATACAATGCAATACATGAGGGGATCGAGGGCCCTGCTCTTTCCAGCTTACAATCTAGGAGGGAGGGGATGGTGGCACAGGAGGAGATAGCTGTGGGGGATGGAGTGGTAGGAAGAGTGGAGGAGGTCGGCAAGTTAGCAGGGGGTGGGGTAGGCTTCCCTGAAGAGGTGGATTTTCAGGGTGCGCCTAAAGGAGAGGAGAGTAGGTGATAATCTGATGGGTTGGGGCAGGGAGTTCCAGAGGATGGGTGACACCCTGGAGAAGTCCTGGAGGCGGGCATGGGAGGAGGAGACCAGGGAACTAGAGAGAAGGAGGTCTTGTGAGGAGCGGAGTGTGTGTGATGGGTGGTACTTGGATATTAGGTCGGTGATGTAGTTCGGGGCAGTATGGTGGATGGCTTTGTATGTCAGTGTTAGGATTTTGAATTTGATCCGTTGGGCAATCGGAAGCCAGTGGAGGGATTGGCAGAGGGGGGTGGAGGACACTGAGTGGAGGCCAGTGGAGGGATTGGCAGAGGGGGGTGGCGGTGATGGAGCGGTTGGAAAGGAGAATGAGTCTGGCAGCCGTATTCAGGATGGACTGAAGCGGGGATAGCCAGCGGTGAGGCAGGCCAGTGAGGAGGGAGTTGCAGTAGTCGAGTCGTGATATGATGAGGGAGTGGATGAGCTGTTTAGTGGTTTCTGGGGTTAGGAACGTGCGGATTTTGGTGATGTTGCGGAGGTGGAGTCTGCATGAGTGTGTTAGTGATTGGACTTGGGGCTGGAAGGATAGGTTGGAGTCCAGAATGACACCAAGTACTCTGGCCTGCGGGGCGGGTTTTAATGATGGCGTTGTTGGATGTGATGGAGAAGTCAATGGGGGGTGGTGTCCGGGCTGGGGGGAAGACAAGAAACTTGGTTTTGGTGAGGTTCAGTTTAAGGAAGTGGAGCGACATCCAGTCCGGATACGTCTGTTCCAACAATGGTCTCAAGCAGGGGCGAACTGACAACTTATGGCCCCCCCCGGGCAATAGGGGATCATGGGGCCCCTGTGTCCTTACCAAAACTCAAAAAAGCCTATGAAAAAGGTACCAGGGGCATCTCATGGGGCCCCCTACTGTCCCCGGGCCCTCGGGCATTGCTCGAGTTTCCAAATGGTCAGTCCACCCCTGGTCTCAAGGATCTCCTTCTTGCTAGTGTTTCCGGTGCTATATCTGTATATATTTGCAAAGTCGCTCCTTCATATTTTACTGAGGGTCCCCGTGTTTCTATGTTCACTCCTTGGGGTCTTCTTATCCTATCAACTCTTTCCATTTTCAATTGTTCTGTCATAGACCTAATATTGAGTCTAAAAATGTATTAATTACCATTCTTACCATTTTCCTGACCGCCCTATAGCTGATATACTGCTACAGGGTGGCAGAGGTGCGCAAAATCACGCACAGCATCTTACGGAAGTGAGTCCGCCCCTCACATCTTTGTAAATATTTGTTTCTATCTTTTCATGTGACAACACTGAAGAAATGACACTTTGCTACAATGTATATATACCACCATTTGTAGACGTTATAACTTTCACGTAAACCAATTAAGTTACACATTTTGGGATTTTTTGTTTAGCAAAGACGTAGCAGAATACATTTTGGTCTAAATTTATGAGGAAATTTGATTTTTTAATTTTTTTTTACTGGACATGTTTAATAGCAAAAAGTCAAAAATATTGTTTTTTCTCAAAATTGTTGTCTTTTTTTTTTTTTATAGCAAAAAAAATAAAAAACGCACAGGAGATCAATTACCACCGAAAGGAAGCTCAATTCGTGGGAAAAAAGGACTTCAATTTCATTTTGGGTGCAGCTTTGCATGACCGCGCAATCGTCAGTTAAAGTAACGCAGCGCCGCAATGCAAACAAATCGCCTGGTCAGGAAGGGGGGAAGTCCTCAGGAGGGCAAGTGGTTAAATCTTCTCCGTGGGGTGTTTCAGGTGACCCCCGGATCCTCAAGTTGTTCTTTCTATTTCTATTCTCCTGATCTTCTATCTTCTATCACAATTTCCTTTGTTCACGTCGCATTTCCTCCATTTGCCCCTTTAACTCAGTTATTACTTGCGATCGTTTCTCCAAATTATCTTCAGTCTCTTCCATTCAGGACAAAGCTTGCCCTAAGTCCTCATGCAAAATTGACATATCATTCTTTATTGAAAGTTCTAATTTCGCAAACATATCTGCCATTTCCATCTTTGTAAGTATTTTCGAGCTTCCTTCTTTGTTCTTCCGTATTTCTTTTGTCCTCCATACATTCTACATTTGGGCCTCCTCTTCATTGATTCAAATCAGATGTTTCCAATGACAGTCTGGATTGATCTCCACTATTGTTTTCAGTTTCTTGTTTCCCACTAGTTTCCCATTGTCTTTCTGGGGTTAGACCCCCTGGGCTCTTCTCCTGTGGAGGCATACACAGGCGTACCTCGGATTACGAATTTAATGCGTTCTCCGGGACATTTCATATTGCGAAAATTTGTAAACCGAAATGCGGTTTCCCATAGGAATGCATTGAAAAACAAATATTCCAATCCGGAGGTCAGAAAAAGTAAATAAAAACGTGCTGTCACTATAGGTCAGTTTGTCCCTTTGTCCCCTGGGGGAACATAACACTGGAAAAAAAATTAAATCAGAATTCTTCTTTAACCAATTCAATACCGGGCAATTTTACACCTTCCTGCCCAGGCCAGTTTACAGGTTTCAGCGCTCTCACACTATGAATGACAATTGCGCGGTCATACAACATTGTACCCAAACTAAAATGTTATCATTTTCTTCACACAACTAGAGCCTTCTTTGGTGGTATTTAATCACCGCTGGGGTTTTTATTTTTTGCTAAATTAACAAAAAAAGACCAAAAATTTTGAAAAAAACACACTTTTTTATTTGTTTCTGTTATAAAAGTTTGCAAATAAATAATTGTTCTTCATAAATTTAGGCCGAGATGTATTCTGCTACATGTCTTTGGTGAACATAACCCAAATTAGGATGTATTTTTTAGTTTGTAGGAAAGTTATAGAGTTCACAAACTATGGTATAGATCTGAATATTGATCAATCCTGAAGTACTGACAGTCAATCTAATTTCTTGAGGTCCAAGAATGTCAGAACAGTACAGATATCCCCCAAATGTCAGAACAGGACAGATATCCCCCAAATGTCAGAACAGTACAGATATCCCCCAAATGTCAGGACAGTACAGATATCCCCCAAATGTCAGAACAGTACAGATATCCCCCAAATGTCAGGACAGTACAGATATCCCCCAAATGTCAGGACAGTACAGATATCCCCCAAATGTCAGAACAGGACAGATATCCCCCAAATGTCAGGACAGTACAGATATCCCCCAAATGTCAGGACGGTACAGATATCCCCCAAATGTCAGGACGGTACAGATATCCCCCAAATGTCAGGACGGTACAGATATCCCCCAAATGTCAGGATGGTACAGATATCCCCCAAATGTCAGGACAGTACAGATATCCCCCAAATGTCAGAACAGTACAGATATCCCCCAAATGTCAGAACAGTACAGATATCCCCCCAAATGTCAGGACAGTACAGATATCCCCCAAATGTCAGAACAGTACAGATATCCCCCAAATGTCAGGACAGTACAGATATCCCCCCAAATGACCCCTTTTTGCAGAGTAGACAGTCCGACGTACTTCATAAGAGGCATGGCGAGTTTTTTGAAGTTGTATTTTTTTTGTCATAATTTTTCGCAAAATGAAAAAATGTAAAAAATTAGTTTCACTATCTTTTTTTTTACATATTCTCACCAGTGCAGTACAGCGTCGTCATATAACTGGCATGGCGGTGATCAGGGATACTGACTGGTGACAGTATGAAAAAAAAATAAAAATTTTTTATTATTTTAATGTTTTTGGTTTT